TTTTATTTAAATAGCGCCACGTCACGGCATACGTTGTCTCAGGGCACTGTACATAAAAAAAAGAACAATCTAAAGAAGACATTTTTACATTTGTATTTATTGTGGAGTTGGTCTAAAATTTCTTTTCAAGTGGCATTAAAAAAGTTTTAAATTTAACTTAAGCTGTAGCAACCCCAGTATTGTGGGTATGGGGGCATGTTAAAAGAGCATTGGTACTGGTCTCRATACCTGTATCAAAATCAGGACACAACTTATATAGAGTGTTAGGTATTGTGATGATGTCACACAAACCWATGAGTTGTCTAAACTTTGCAAATAAAACAGTTTGCAAACAAACTCTTTTCAACAAACTACAATTTTTATACAGTTTTTGCATCTACAGTACAATATCTCGTGTCTCACTGCTGCAGAATTTAGATGTGCCGAGTGCCCACACCCAAACTATMACTGACTTTCTCTGATCAGATTTTTTTTCCTTCATAACTTAAAGGTAATGTTTTAAAAACCTCGTCACGTCTACATAAAGTTGTTTTAGATGCATTAAAAATTGTGACGTTTCAGTCTATCCGTCTTTCACCTGCTGCTAACTTGAGTTTAAACAATAAAACAACTAAACCTCCTCTGGTTCCTCTCCTCTCAGGTAAAGTGCAACGAGCAGCCCAACAGAGTGGAGATCTATGAGAAGACTGTGGAGGTCCTCGAGCCAGAAGTCACCAAGCTGATGAATTTCATGTACTTCCAGGTAGTTTCTCACATCTGATCAGCAGGATTATCTTTGATCGTCCGCTGCAACAAAAAAACAAGATAATCCACGAGCTGCTTTGCTTTAATCCAGCGCACAGCCATCGATCGCTTCTGCGGGGAGGTCCGTCGGCTGTGCCACGCCGAGCGCAGGAAAGACTTTGTGTCTGAGGCGTACCTGCTGACCCTGGGGAAGTTCATCAACATGTTCGCAGTGCTCGATGAGCTGAAGAACATGAAGTGCAGCGTCAAGAACGACCACTCTGCATACAAACGGTACAGAACCAGAACCGCGCACCTCAGACTCTAGATGGCAGCATCTTTTAGCTTTCCTCCCACTCAGCACTGCAGGGCTGGGACAGGAGAACATAAATACAAAACGTCCTGTAATTAAAATCATGCCACATTGGAAACTTTCTTTTCTTGCTGAAAATGCTCCGAGTTGTTGGTGTTTTTATTTGGATCATCTGTTTGGTTTATGAATCATTATTTTATTATTTTATTTATTATCAGACTAATACAGCTAAATTCTGTTTTTATACTGTTTTGTTTAAATTTGCCATCCTGGCGTCACGTTTTCTGAATGAATTCTCATTAGTGACACTTAAAAAATGTGTCTACAAAGGTTAAAACAGCAGCTTATAAAATGCTGAAAAAAAATCTAATTTCAGTGGTTTTAATTGTGTATTTAATACACTTATTTCAACATTTAACCTGATTAGTTGACACTTAAGTTACACTGAAGCTACAAATATAAATGTTTTTATTATCTTTGTTCTTTTGTATCTGGAATAAAAACGTAAAAAAAATCTAATTAACAGTTCTTTTTGCCTAAAAACAAAAATGACAAAAGTGTTGTTGCTGTTGTTGTCTTTGCTCAGGGCGGCTCAGTTCCTCAGAAAGATGTCAGAACCGTCCTCCATCCAGGAGTCCCAGAACCTGTCCATGTTCCTGGCAAACCACAATAAAATCACTCAGGTGGGTCTGAACTGCAAAAATATTTAAATCTGGACTTTTTAGGTGTTCAGTAAAACTCTGCAGCTTTAATTTATTTTTAATTCAAGTTCTGGAGTTGGAAAGCAGCAGCCATTAAACAAAAACAAACAAAAAAAGAAAGCAGTTAATTCTAAAGGCCCTGTTACACTATAATGTTTTAATCAACTTATGAAAATTTTAAAGACTTTAATGTTGAAGATGAAATATACTGTAATGTTAACAAATTGATCAAATACAAAACCTATTAGTAATTTAGACATAAAAAAGTCACAAGTTGTCTAAAATGTTATAGTGTGACAGGGCCTTGAGGCTGATTTGATCATGTTTCCTTGCAAATATTGTGCAATAAGGAGTACATTAGAGGTTTATTTAAAGATGACCTCGTAATGTGTAATWACATACATACATTTTTTCTGCTTCTGGGTCATCCTCCAGTCGCTGCAGCAGCAGCTGGAAGTGATTCATGGTTATGAAGAGCTGCTGGCCGACATCGTCAACCTGTGTGTGGATTACTACGAGAACAAGCTGTACCTGACTCCCAGTGAGAAGCACATGCTTCTCAAGGTAAGGACCGCTCTGGACCAGTGACCGAATCTCTGCTCGTTGAAACTGCAGCCTCCAACGTTTCTCTCCAGGTGATGGGTTTTGGTTTGTACCTCATGGATGGAAACAGCAGCAACATTTATAAACTGGATGCCAAGAAGAGAATCAACCTCACGAAGATTGACAAGTTTTTCAAGGTATGAAGAGAAACTCATTTTGAGGGCGAACGTTTGCTTCTACATCAGATTATAATCTGTGCATGGACTTTGAAATTCAGTTTTCTTGTTGCAAGCAAAACAAATTCAAAGTTTTGWATTGGTACTTTTGTTAAACATAATTAATAGATCTGTGTGTGTTTTTTGGGTGGGGTTACAGCAACTCCAAGTGGTCCCGCTTTTTGGTGACATGCAGATCGAATTGTCCCGTTACATAAAGACCAGCGCTCACTTTGAAGAGAACAAATCCAGGTGGGAGAAAACACTGCACGTCTCACAGAGATCTGAAATGATTCAAGAATCTCGATTACAAAGGATTGTTGAGGAAACATATTACTGTTGCACAACATGCTCACACTACAGAGGCCTATTGCACAAAAGTCAGATTTCTAAATTCAGGTTATGAGCTGTAAGCTGAGCTTGAACTAGCCTTCAACTTGTAAATAGCCGAAATCAGTTGCTCTAACACCAAGCCACGCTCAATTAGGGTGGTTCATTCAAGCCAGCTGTAAATGGTTTAGGATTAATGCACGTTCACGGTCGGCTTACTAGACCCACTGGGTGGATCAAAGATTTCCTGMTCAGGCATGCACAGTAAGACACTAGCTACGTTTACATGGACAAAAGTAATCTGATTAAACAGCCATTCGGAATAAAAATTCGTCATGTAAACAGCCCGTTCGGATTATTCTGATCCGATTGAGCTCGATCCGAATGAATTTTCAATCCGAATGAAAAGGGTGGGTTATGCCGATTGATAATTGGAATGACGTTCATGTAAACACTTAATCGGATCATCTTATTCTGATTGTAGAAAACTGACCTGTGTGCATGTCTGCTGACTTTCATTCACCCGGTTAGAGGAGGTGGGACAGCAGCGCTCCAGCTGTGCAGCACCGTGCAGAACCTTTCCTCCTCGCTCTCTCAACAGATGAAAAAGGAGGCGAACAGCAGATGTTGCTTCGCAAAAAATAAAAAGCACGTATTGCTTCATCTGCAGCTCAACCGAGGAGACGAGTAACGACGTCTTTACCGTTRTTAAAAGCTGACACGGGTCCATCCTGAGCGCACAGAGGAGCTTTGTTTATGTTTGTAACACAGAAGTAGAGCTGACAGTTTACAACACTGCGCATGTCTGGGGTCGGATTTATAAAACTGGCGTACGCACAATTTGAGCCCAGAAACTTGCGTAATGCCACTTTTCACGCCAAGGTTGTGATTTATAAAATCCAAGATATATTTAAATAATTTAATTAATTATTATTAAATTAATAATTTAATTTGAATAATTTAATTTAATTTAATTTAGGGCAGCACGGTGGCTCAGTTGGTAGAGCTGATGCCTCTCAGCAAGAAGGTCGCTGGTTCAAAATCCCGGGCCGGGGACCTTTCTGGGTAGAGTTTGCATGTTCTCTCCGTGCATGCGTGGGTTCTCTCCAGGTACTCCGGCTTCCTCCCACAGACCAAAAGCATGACTGTTRRGCTGATTGATAACTCTAAATTGTCCCTAGGTGTGAGTGAGAGAGTGAATGGTTGTTTGTCTCGTTTTTCTCTTTGTGTGTCCCTGTGATGGACTTGCRACCTGTCCAGGGTGTACCCCGCCCCTCGCACTGTGACTGCTGGATATGGGCACCAGTGACCCACGCAACCCTGAAAGCTGCTGAAGCGTGTACAGAAAACGGATGGATGGATGGATGGTATTAAAATTAAATATTCTTTAACAGCTAAGTTGATAGCAATAAAAAAAAAATTCTGGACCATTTGAATGTTTCTGTTAATGCGTCGGTTTGGTCTTAAATGTCATTCCTAATGATCTTAAAAGGTCTTAAATTTAACTTAATAAAACCTGCATGATCTCTGAAGAATGAAAATACTTTAAACACAAATGAGCTCATCAAAACAGCATAAACGTCAACGTCTTTGTGTCAGCAGTGTGTTTCTGATTGTTACAGTGTGAATGTCAAGGCTTCATGCCAGTTTGTAACGTTCTTCAGGATGAAACTAAGGGGTGGCTCACAATTTTCAACATTTCACAAGTGTACAAAATACTCTTTTGGAGACACCTCTTCCTAACGCATACACAAAAGTTACTTTAGTGAAATGTGTTTTATTATAAGTAAAACTGAGACGTGTTTTGTGTTCATCCAAAACCACAAAAACCAGACAAAAGAAAGGAAAACTCAAATCTAGCACGTTGCAGGCTGGCACGCTAACCAGCAGGCGGCTGTGGCTAATGCCAACAGAAGCAGTTAAGCTCATGTTAAGCAACCTTCGCAGGATGCTAAGCTAACTAACAGCAGCTAATTAGCTTGACTCAAGGAGGTGTTCTTAAGGGCTCAGTATGGTCACTCGGCAGCCAACTGGATGACGCACACACCTTTCATAGCTCCTGAGACACACAGCACTGAGCTCCTGGGAAACCCTTCCTGCTGCAGCATACCTCACTGCATGGGGTTGCTTCCCGCTGGAGTCTGCACTGCGGAGAAAAAAAAAGAAATCAGAGACTCATTCTTGATGTTTTTTGTTCACTGCAGCTGTCCCGGTTAAAGCTCCATTTTTTTGATTCATCTTTATAAACGTCGGCTTCCTGGTGGCCTACAACAGTCGGCTTCTGGAAGAGAGTCGTGTTTAGGCCTGTCGCGATAGTCAATAAATCATTTAATCGCATGATAAATTATTTTGAGGTCTATTAAAAAAATGAGGAGGATAATTTTCATTTTCCTGCTTGTTGGTTGACTTCGTCTCTCTCCCTCTCTGTGCTCCGCTGCACAGGGGGCTCAGCTGACCCCTCCCCTCCTGTTTTCTTAGTGTGGGAGGAGTCAACTCTCGCGCGGTCTCGTACTCCTTTAGCATGAGAGCTCGTAACAATAACAAACTAAAGAGACGTTRATGGGATTCTGAAAAATGGAGATGGAATTGGTTACAAAGCAGAACGTGACAGCTGCAGTACTTGCAGGGCCTGAAATTCACTACGGGGATTGCACATATTATGATTGATTCCCGCAAATCTAAGTTTTATAATGCGGGAAGTTCCCACGTAAAGTAAATTCCAGCGATGTGTAAKTATGTGGGAGTTTGCATCGGACTATTTTTAGATGATTAGTAGTACCGAATGAACCTGACCACCTGGTCTGTTCAGAAGACACGGAGAAAGAGAGAGAGAGAAGGGGTGGGGGCAGAAACTCCCCCGCCTGTGTTCCTTCAAGCGAGGTAGCTACAGACCCACGACAAAAAATCTTTGAGACTTTACCTGCAGATCCCAAAAATAACAGGAAACTTAACTTTTAACAAAACACACAAAAAACAGTGGCTGTCCCAACAACTCATGAGGAAAACTCTGAACTGATTTCCTYCCCTGCAGGCAGAGCTCTGCTTGTTTCCTCACTGTCCCCTCCTCACACACACGTTTGTTCTTCTATCCTCATGGGGACTTTGCATTAACTTTCATTCATTTACTGGTATTTTCTATTACCTATTTGACCTAGCCTGGCCCTTGCCTTTCTACGCAGCTCCGCTCAATTATAGTTTCCCTTCACTGCTCCATCTGGGACTTCTCCCACTGACAAGGATTTTGCTGGCAGATTTTTAGCCGGGCCAATCAGAGAACAGAACGTCAATTTTCTGCGCAGTGCCTGCTAGTTAGTTTAGCATACGGCAGTGGAGGAAGAGAGTGAAGCCAGTCTGTGTTGATAARRCTTCCAAATTAAAATAAATTTGTCTGACAAAGCAGCAGCTCTCATTTACAGTCGTCTCGTTCGGCTYGGTATATTTCTCCTCTCAGTAGGGTTGTTTACTACAGCACACGTGATTTCCGGTTAGCTTCTTAGCTTAGCCTCCATCACAGCGACAACACACACATGCTTCAGCAGAGGCCACGCCTCCTGCAAGAAACTCTTCTCTATGCAGCAAGTCCAGACCCTTGTACGAAGCAAAGTAAAGGACAGGGTCTGGTTGAAACCAGGCTATATTTGACCCTAAACCTAGCCTAAACTTTACTTAGGATGTGAACTGTGTTTATGTTCCCATAAGAAACAGTGGGTCCTCACCAGGSTGTGTAGTTTGCTTCATCTCTAAAGACATGCTGCTCTTTAATATTGTTTATATACTGTCCCAGTTGTGTGTGGTGTTTAATTTCCATTTTGTTGTTATGTTTTTTTTATTCAGGTACATTTTTTGTTAAGACTGAGAGTCCACTTTGTTAAAAATTCTTTAAAAATTAAAGTTTATGGATCTTTGAGAGGATGTACTTACATTATTATGCTTTTATCATTATATTAGTTTTAAAATGGTCACCAGACAATATTATTGCTTATCACAATAATTTTTGAGACAGTTAATCGCCCAGCAAAATTTGTTATCGTGACAGGCCTAGTCGTGTTTTTTTTTATGTGAGTGGTTGAAGCAAAATGCAGCGTCTTAGTGCGTTTATGGCATTACATTTGTGCCACCAGCTTGAGCGTGAAGTAAGAGGGGGCCRCGTGAGCAGAGGTCAAGTTGAAAGGAGGGAGCTGAGAACAAGCAGGAAGAGAGTTGAGCAAGCAGGGAGGGAGCTGCATGAACGTGTGTGTGATTTGAATGCACACGGTTCAAATTATTGTTCGTTCATATTGATTTCTGCTCTCAAGTTAGTGTTGCTGCACGCTCAAGCTGGTGGCACAAATGTAATGCCATAGATTTCAGCATAACTTCTGACCAATGACACAATAAGTTATTATGTGGAGGAGGGGTAAAACTGTTCAGCCAGCGAGTTGCAACAAGAAGGTGCTGAAATGTCAACAATGAGAACAAAACACCATTTTTGTCATGAAACTGCGACATTCCCATCCAATTTTGGCAATTCAGCTGGAGTACACTGGGTGCTAAATGAAGTGAAGACAGGCCTGTCACCTGTCATCATCACATCATCTGCCTAAAGATGTGATTAGAGGTGTCTTCAGCCAGCTGTTCCATACTTCATGTGTTTTACTGAGTGAATCCACTGAAAGGGAACTTGTGCTTATATGGATATTGTATCAAAGTAAAATTATCATTCCACATTTGGATACACATCATAAAAATGTACAGAAAAAAGCCAGGATTGTCTGATCATAAACACATCATGGACCACCTGTATGGCATAGATGATTGAAGATTGTTTTTTAAAGTCTTTAAAACTGTATAATGCATCAAACGCTGCCTATAAGGCGGCGTGATTGTCTGAATGTTACGAAAACACATCAATACATGGTTAACCTGCCATAGAGATCATGATCATTAGAGTTTATTTAAACTAAATTATCTAAAAGTCACCAGGAGTCTTGCGTATCAAAGAGAGCAGATTTAGATGGCCTGAACCTTTGCCATCTTGATCCTTAAAGAAACTGCATGAAGATACAAGGAGTCTCAGCGTCAAGTATTTTGTAAAAATGGGACTTGTTTCAACATCAATATTTGTAGAATTAATTCCCTGAATGTTTGACAGTTTTTATGGTTTATTTAATTTTATGTTGGTTGATATTGGATAAACTGCTTCAATAATTTGTAAAGAGATTTTGTTTCATGTTTTGTTAGATTTTATAACTGATGTTCTGATGACTTGTACTTAGCATTAATTGTTAGTACACAGCTCTGTGTTTACATATCTTATTCCCCCCCCCCCCCCAGGTGGACTTGCACATCTATCTCCAGCAGCCCTCAGTACAACATCTGTGAGCAGATGATTCAGATCAGGGAGGATCACATGCGCTTCATCTCTGAGCTCGCTCGCTACAGCAACAGTGAGGTTGGTATGAAACACCCCCACCCCCAGGGTTGAAACTGAACTGCTGATTTGGGACCAGACCGGATCGAACCCTCCTACCTCTACGCTCACCTTTTTTCTGAATGAATCCAGAGAGTGTCCATCATCAGGCGATTTTATCTTACCGCCTGCTCTACGGGGCTTTTCTGTGTGAAACATGGCTGTTATGTAAAAAGCTTTGCAGCAGATGTCTTGCCCTGGTGGATTTCCAGGGGTCATGATTTAGTTCAACTCAGATGGAAATTTGACTGATAAGTGGATCAGAATTAAAACACTGGGCAAAGAAATGCTTTGTTGATCTGTGCTGTGAGGTAAATCAGGGTTATATGTATTGGGCATTGATTTCAACACATGGATTTGTTATTTTTGTTAAAAATAAAAATAGGTGGTGACTGGATCAGGGCGCCAGGAGGCCCAGAAGACTGACTCAGAGTACAGGAAGCTGTTCGATTTGGCCCTGCAGGGCATGCAGCTGCTCTCCCAGTGGAGTGCTCACGTTATGGAAGTGGTGAGGAATAACAGCCTGCTCACAGGAGAAACACAATATATTCATTTAGACACAGACAAACTGATGACTTGCCTTCTCTTCCTCAGTACTCATGGAAACTGGTTCACCCGACAGACAAATACTCTAACAAGGAGTGCCCCGACAATGCTGAGGAGTATGAGAGGGCCACTCGCTACAACTACACAAGCGAGGAGAAGTTCGCCCTCGTAGAGGTTAAATACAGCAAGATGTTTACACGTTGTACCGCTCTAACCTCTGCTAGTCCTGTTCTTCATGGYGTGTGATGCATTTGGCAGGTGATTGCGATGATAAAGGGACTGCAGGTGCTGATGGGACGCATGGAGAGCGTGTTCAACCACGCCATCCGCCACACCATCTACTCAGCTCTGCAGGACTTTTCCCAGGTGACGCTGCGCGACCCGCTGAGGCAGGCCATCAAGAAGAAGAAGAACGTCATCCAGAGGTCAGGACCACAGCGGAGTGGCAATAACTCTTGTAATATCAGGACATTAGGGGGGTCAACTCATTTTCACAGAGGTGGTCTTCAAAGGGCCAGTTGTAATTAACTTCATTTCATTTTGAACTTTAACAAAACACAAAGCATCACGTTCCTTGTATGGGATAAATCTTGTGTCAGCAGGAATTGAATTTGAATTGCTCAGATTGAATCTGAATGTGCATAATTTGAAATTGAATGCATTGGTTTGAAAATGAATTTTACTAAATTGAAACTGAATTTAAAGTTTTTTGTGTCTGAATTAATTTGTTTTAAAACTGTATTTTGGTTTATTAAAAATTCAGTTTGACTACTTTCAGTTTCAGTTCCAAAATTCAATTGCAGTTCGACGATTCAGATTTTTGTGTCACATCCTGGTCCTTGAGAAAGCCAGCCAGAGTAATCAAACACAGATCCACAGATTTATGTTTCACTTTGGTGAAATTTCCCTTCTGTAATGTAACAGAGTTGATGCAATCCACCGTAAAAAGTGACGAAAACAGTTATTTTATTGCAGTGATTAATTTTACCTATATGTAGAAAATGTTACATTTACATCACATGGATCACATATTGATCAGATGCTGCTGCTGACTGATGTGATGTAAATGTAACATTTTCTATAGGTAAAATTAAACACTGCAATAAAATAACTGTCTGTTTTTGTCAATTTTACAGTGGATTGCATCAACTCTGTTACATACAGAAGGGAAACTTCACCAAAGTGAAACATAAATCTGTGGATCTGTGTTTGATTACTCTGGCTGGCTTTCTCAAGGACCAGGATGTGACACAAAAATCTGAGTTATGGAAGTGAAAGTTAAAGTAGTCAAACTGAAATTTTTACTAAATCAAAATACAGTTTCAAAGCAAATTAATTCAGATACAAAACTTTAAATTCAGTTTCAATTTAGTGAAATTTATTTTCAAACCAGTGCATTCAATTTCAAATTATGCACATTCAGATTCAATCTGAGCAATTCAAATTCAATTCCTGCTGGCACAAGATTTATCCCATGTCCTCGTCTCATTACTACGACTGAGCACCTCTAACCAGCACCAACTGAACTCTACCTGGTATATCCTGTGTCCTTTAAAGCAGCTTATTTTGATACATTAATACAGGACTATTGAATTAAATTGCTCAGGGGGCCACAGAGACTGAAAGCCAACAGCTCAGGGGCAGGACAAGTATTATCTTTCATATTGTATTGTATTGTATTGTATTGTATTGTATTGTATGTATGTATTTATTTATTTATTTATTTATTTATTTATTTATTTATTTTTAAAGTTTACCATTAATATAAAAACTATTTTCACATTAAATTAAGAAAAAATAAAAATCAATGAAATAAAATTATTTGCGGAGGGACCTATGTCTGGCCGGACGGAAGTCACCCGGCCTGCGAGCCTCGAGTTTGACACACTGTAAGGCAGTGGTCCCCAAACTACGGCCCGCTCCCCATTTGTTCCGGCCCCCAGAACAATACCAGAGACCATTTTTCATAAATGTGTATTTATATTTGATTATAAAGTTGGACTTTTGCAATAAAATGTTCCTTAGTTATGAACTATTTTCATTATTAACTATTATTAGTTAGTAACTATTTCATACATACACACATATAACGTGACATTCTGTTCCACCCTTCTGCGGTGTGTGCCCCTATCTGGCAACCCCCAGAAAAAATCCTAAACCTGCACCTCTCAAAGAGAGAACGGAATAATGGCAAAAAGATTAGCTGAGAAAAATAGATTCAGAATGCAGGGCATTTAAGCTGCAGTGGACAAACGATTATTTTTTTGTTCATCTGTAAAGAGGCGGTGGCGGTTTTCAAAGAATACAATCTGCGGCGACACCATGAATCCCGTCACAAAGACAAGTATGATAGCTTCAAGGCCAAATGTGAGCAAACAAACTCTCAAAGCTACAACGTGGACTGTTAGCTCAGCAGARWACATACTGTGAAGAACCCAGAGAGGGTTATTTGATTGTGCTTTCTGGAAAACAATACATTTTTACTTTTAGGCACTCCTGCAATAGTCGCACTTTTTCTATTACAAACTGACTCCGCCCCCCACCAGACAAGGGAAAAGTAATGTGGCCCTTACAGGAAAAAGTTTGGGGACCCCTGCTGTAAGGGGTTAGCATAAATGGTATAGCTAAGCTATATTGATGTAGAGTTTTGCTTATCCAAAGTTAGCCAATAATAAAAAGGATTGCTCTAATCTCCAATTTATCAAAGAATTAGAAAGCAATGCTTTTTTATATAAACTTTATCACTTTTACTGCAGTCTGGGTCACTTCTGGCAGGAATTTTATAATGCATATATATTTTTACAAGCTTTTAAAAATATTTAAATTTTTTTCACTCAAAACACCCACAAATACATACAAACAAAAAAATAGTAATAAAATAATACTAATTTTAAAAAAGGTAAACAAAACCTTCTCCCACTCTACCCTTCCCACATCAAATCACTACATAAATACGTAAACATCCGACAGATGAGACAAACTCCATCTCAGAATTGTGCAGGCATAATTCAATTCAGTTCAATTCAATTAAAGAATACTTTATTGATCCCAGAGGGAAATTAGATAATATGCAATAATTTATGACAGTTGTACAAAATTGTCTGCAAACATATTTTCAATGCGAGTTTTAAATAGCTGTCAAATGTCATAAAATCTCTCAACAGACCCTTTCACCCTATAATCTAATCTTTTCCATATGATTATAACACAATCTCTCTTATACAGTGATCATATGTCGAAGGATGTGGATCCTTCCATCCAGAAATAACCATGTTGTGTAAAACTGACAACATTGTAAAGGATATCAGTTGTTTGAAGTGTAGCTGATGTCACTTCTGTAACTTCTAAAAACGTTTGTACAAACTCATTTTCATATTGTTTTGTCCTCATGGCAGCGTCCTTCAGGCCATCCGTAAAACGGTCTGTGACTGGGAGACCGGCCGGGAGCCGCACAACGACCCTGCCCTCCGCGGAGAAAAGGATCCAAAGGGAGGATTTGACATCAAGGTTCCTCGTCGAGCTGTGGGGCCCTCCAGCACACAGGTGTCCCCTCACAACATCAAATTTAATCATTTAAAACATCAGAATGACCTGCCACTGTTTTCAGTTTAATGGCCTATTGAAAGATTTTTAGTGGACCTTTTAGGTTGGCTGCAGTTTTGAGGATCTTTGTGGACAGATAAGTTCATAGATGTCTACTCTTTTGGAGTTAAAGGTCAAAGTTTACGTATGGTGTCCTGGCTGATGAGTTGAGCTGCTTTTGTTCCTTTAGGCTGCAGACGTTGTAGCAGAATTAACATCAGATTTTGCATCAATGCAAGGATAGAAAACCCTCAGAATTAGCTAAGATCAGCCAGAGTCATCCTATCCTACTGAGGCCGACAGCTGCAAACTGCACATGGATGATGCAAACTCCAAAACACAAATAAACAAATGCAACAGATAAATGCTGCAAAAGACACATTCCACAATCATATAAAATAAACAGCAAATGTAGCAAATACTAAAAACACTAGAAAAAAAATCCCAAAACAGAAGTGCACCAGAGTATTATTCTTTATCTTTCTTCTTCATCCTGTCAAAGTCTTTACTGAGGGTCTGCTCCTCCTAGTGGTCTGGTGCACTTTAATTAGCCATCTAAAAATAAGTTTAAGAACACCAGATTATAGTCTGAATCTTCTCAAATTAAATGAAATAATCTGCCAGTGCATTAAGACAGTTGCACTTAAATTAAAATAGTTTCCATGTTAAGAGTAATAATCCAACACAATCTGCTCTTGCTCAGTATATCTGTCTCAAAACTAGATTAAACATAATTTTTGTCTGGACATAAGATTGTAAGATGTTTTATGAGGTGTTCTGTTTTTGGAGCAAGTCCGCAGCGTGTCTTGCTTGCGTTTTATTTTTTTTAAATTATTTTTGGTAATTTCAGGATTTTTTCTTTTTGTTTTATTTATTTCTGTCAGTATATTTTTCTTGATTGCAACATTTTTGCTTTTGCATTAGTTTGTTTGTGTTTGTTTTGTGGATGACGTCATTCGTGTGTTTGCAGCACATTTCGCCATTTGCGACACATTTGCACAATATCACCTCACCATCTTCATCAAAGTGCATTTTATAATGACTGATGTTCCCGTTTTTGTCAACGAGAAGAATATTCTTAAAGAAAATCTAGAAACTGTCTTAATCTGTCACATTCTGAGATTTTTATACTTTTGTTTTGATCATAACTGTAAAAAAAACTAATTTTCAGTTTTACATGTCATCTTTCTATGAATACTCCAATGTTGTTATCCTGAGTTAATCGTTATGAAGCCGTAATCCTTTTACACACCTCCAAGGTGCCAACTCACATTTATGCTTTGTGAAGTTCATATAACCTGAGTATCATACCTGAGGTTCCCAACATGTCAACGTTGATTATCCTCTGAGAAAATGACTTTATGATCAATCTGGGTTGTCCAGATCAGACTGTTGAGAGTTGTTCTTCATCTCCAGTGATCTCCAGTCAGTCGCTCCTGTCTCAGATTGCTCCTGAGGGATTTGATTTAGTGTTCAGAGCATTAATACAGTTCTGATCAACCATGATGCTTTCTTTTTTAACTGTGTCCCCCGGTTTATTTTTCTCATCAAATGGTCACTGTATTAACTTCAGCTGTCAGTGCTGATGCTGTGTCTGAGTGATGACTGTCGGCATGTTGGTTCATCCATCATGCTGCAGAGATCATGCAGATTTATCAGCTTCAAGGTTGTTTCCACGAACTAATCTGTTTTTCAGGTTCATGGTTAAAAATTCTAGATAGACACTGAACTTATGTAATAATCTGCCCTGAGATGACCGTTTTATCAGCTACGTTTTTCTAGTATTTGTAGATAATAAAGTAATTTTAATGAAAGTCTTTGATGCTGTTTATGTGATGGTTGAAGGTCATTATACCTGACTCCATTATTGTTTTCATGCTGGTAAATCTTCAGCTCTACATGGTGAGGACCATGCTGGAGTCTCTTATTGCTGACAAAAGTGGCTCAAAGAAGACTCTGCGCAGCGGTCTGGAGGGTCCCACCATTCTGGACATTGAAAAGTTTCACAAGGAGTCCTTCTTTTACACACACCTGCTGAACTTCAGCGGTACGTAGAGACACAAGATTGATCCTGCAGCTCCTCGCAGTCCTGGTAGTGTCCTAACAAAACCTTTACTCAACGTCCCTGCAGAGACTCTGCAGCAGTGTTGTGACCTCTCCCAGCTCTGGTTCAGAGAGTTCTTTCTGGAGCTCACGATGGGCCGCAGGATCCAGTTCCCCATCGAGATGTCCATGCCCTGGATCCTCACCGACCACATTCTGGAGACCAAGGAAGCGTCCATGATGGAGTAAATATCTATTTTTTCTCATTTAATTAAGACCATCCTGAAAATACTCCATCGAATTTAACATAATCTCAAACACATTTTAACATAATATAACATTTCCCAGTTATAATTCACATTAAGCTGTGAATTTGAAGTTAATTTGATCAGAAATGTTACTAAAGGTGAAAACTCAAAGGTCTGGTTGTTTGTACCTCTTGTTGGATTGGCCTGCGGTCCTCGTTGACGTCCTGTTTTGATCATGTTTTTATGCCTGTTTTAAATGTTTGCTGCAGGATTACACTCATACAAGGCAGATTTACATAAGCCATTAAGCACATACTTTGGCATTGGGCATGATGCTCAAACTCTACAAATGTTTGCCCCAAAAGATCAGTTTCCTTCTTGTGCTTTTGGACAATAGTTGTTTTGTTGAAGCACGTTGGGGAGATTCAAAGACTTTCAGGCATCACACAGATCAAAATGTTCTTGTCAGTGATTTCTACCTTTTTCTCAGTTTTGTATCGGACTAAATATTCAGCATTAAGCAAGCCATGTTCTGTCATTATAGTCCAAGTGGATTGTATTAGTCAATTATTATTTCATATAGCCCTGTGACAGTACACAAACAATGGGTCGATGTACACTGCCTGGCCAAAAATAGTTTTATTTTCCTGTATACTGTGTGTGTATATATATATATATATATATATACAGGAAAGGAAAAAAAACGCAAATGTTAGGTTTTATTTTTTTTCCATCCTTTTTAAAAAATTTCATATGGCTTTGAGAGTTTGTCCAAACAGACCATCACCGGTTCATCCAGACGTTCCTGTCCCTGTAAGAGTGTCAGACGTAGAGGCCTTTGCATCACCAACAAAGTAGGGCTGGGTGATTAATCTGATTTTGATCTTGATTACAATTTGAGTTTTTAACAATCATAAAAACATGATGGAAGTTTGCAGTTTAATGAAACTGACAACATGACATAAAAGCTTCAGGCTCCACCAGCYCTCTGGACCTGAAGGATCCCTAGACATATGGGCCCACCTCTTATTGATCCTCATGAACCAAGAATGAAGAGCACCCCTGAGGACTAATGATGTATGCATGCTAACTAGCAGGCAGCAATGACTCAATGAAAGCAGTGAAACTAATTTTGAGCAGTCTTTGCGRGACACCGAGTTAACTAGCACTAGCTAGTTAATGGCCAGGATACTTGGTCCGAAGCCGAACAGTTGACACGTGGTTGCTCAAGGTTTGTTTTTGTACACACCTTTCATAATCCCCTGAGACACACGCTCCTGGGAGACCCCGTCTCACCTGGTATCTTGTATAACTTTTCATGGAAATGTTTAGTTTATTAACTACACTCAATGAACATTTTGTCCCTTTTTTAACCTTTACAGGTATGTGTTGTATCCCCTGGATCTATACAATGACAGCGCACACTACGCTCTGACCAAATTCAAGAAGCAGTTCCTCTACGATGAGATTGAGGCCGAGGTAACCGATCGTATTCTAGATCATTTAAAGACGAGCCTAGTCTTTTTAATGTCACGGCAAATCTTTGACACAATGTTATGTCTCTAAATGTATATGTGGTGGAATCATAAATCCTAGTTCTTTTTGATACAGTTACATGACTTTAATACTGTTTGCTGTATTTCAATTTTCTGTCACCTTTGGGACAGACAATAAAGTTTATCTAAATCTAAATTTATTAATATTGTTTATTAGTAAAAAAAGAGTAATGACTTTCTCACTAAAAACTTGCTAAAACCACGTTAAATTCACTCTGTGCTTAGTAAATGAAAAATGTAAAGTTGTTCAAAAGTTTTGCCATCATCAGCCTGACACATTTTCACACGCCTTTTTTTTACCCCCCCCTCAGGTCAACTTGTGTTTCGATCAGTTTGTCTACAAGCTGGCCGATCAGATTTTTGCTCACTATAAGATTCTAGCTGGAAGGTGGGTTATTTCTTTTTCCCATGTGTCCAAACGTTTCATTTGCTGGAGGTGTGTACACTAAAGAAACAATGTGATTCAGCATTAAAAAAAACATGAAATCATGAGAAGATATTTAAAGTAAAAGGTGTAATTTTGGTGCTAAAACAAAATGAGACTTAGAAAGCAAACTGGTAACCAATACACTAAGTTAATAGTGATGACCTTTACAAAATTGTTTTATTTTGAACTAAAACATGAGGAAATATATTTTATTAAATAACACACAAACCAAGATTGTCAAATAGTTTTATTTTTTCTTTGAATAATTTCTTTTTCAGAATTTCTGTTTATTTCACCTGATAACAGTTTTGTTGTTTAAGCTCATAGTTGAGTTATGTGTAACTGTGAAAAATAAAAACATAACAATCCCAACCTAATGTAAAAGAAAATCCACTGATGTGTCCTTTTCATCTTTTCTTTGATTCACGAGTACAGTTTACACAGATGACAATACTAGTGCTTTTGTAAACTTTTCAGGGTTTTTTTTCTTCATCTCACTGTTTACATTGACAATCCTTACAAACATATTTTTGTCTTTCCTTAGCTCCAGCTGCAGAGTATTTTTCCCTTTTTTTTAGCTCAGTAGGAACTCTTGATATTTAAAGAAACACGACTAATTCATATCTAAACAAACTGATTAAGTAAACTGAACACTCCTCCAGTTGTTGTTGTTGTTGTTGATATTATATTACTACACACATTGTATACACTACCCTTCAATATAAAATAGACCCATCTGTTACCAGTCTTTGCTGGACTCCATCTGAATGCTCGCAGATCTCTTTCAATCTCCCAGACCCACAATGCTCCAGCTATACTCTCTAGTTGAATGTTGTTGAATAAAACTAAAACTGTCAGGAAAATGCATCTTCCTGTAAGTTTTTCCACAAAAAGAATAACCTACCTATTTGGAAAATTTTATTTCAGCTTTGTAGTCCACAGAATTAACATTTCTTCTTTTGGAAATACTATTAGAAAAATACAGTTTGATGTAGTTCGTGTGTACTGTCCTTTTGAAGTAAACTACTCAAAATTATATATTTCTGGTAGTTTTTATGAGCCATTGTTTCAAGTCAGAAACTTACTTTTCCCCATTAACTCTGTAAAGCTCAGATATCCCAGCTTTTCATCAGTCTTGAATGCAGAATTACATGCGACTCAGCAGTGGAAAGAAAATCTCAAAACTCAAATTAACAGGCGAGCAGATCAGCACGTTCATGCCTGTCTTATTGCATGCTCACTCAAATATTTTTGAGACTAATTTATCTCCATATTATAACCACTCCATAGTGAAACTAAAAGTCCTTATAACCTCAGAGTCAATGTAGAAGTGYTTATTCCAAAAGTACCTATTGTGAATCAGTTAATTTGCTTTAATTCAGTGAAACAAAGTGTAATTGAACACTTGAGGGATTTCTTTTTTCTCCTGTTCTGCAGAATTTTAAAGGTCTACATTATATTTACTGTAATTATGAGAAAACTTGGTAATAAGTAAGTAATATAAATTTGTGCAGATGTTTGATTTTGAATAACTATTGCTCATCTCTCAGCTCCCAAATAAACAGCTTAAAAAGGTTTTGACATTTTTATTTAACTCCATTCCTTTAGCCTCCTGCTTGACAAACGTTTGAGGACTGAATGCAAGAACCAAGGGGCCAACATTCCCTGGCCTGCCTCCAACCGCTACGAGACTCTGCTGAAGCAACGCCACGTCCAGGTGACTCCTGTACCCATCATGGATGTTTGATCTCTATGTTGCCGTCTTCGTCATGTTGCATCATGCAGTGTGTCTCTTTTTAACTGAGCGTGTTTTTGTGTAGCTCCTGGGCCGCTCCATCGATCTAAACCGACTCATCACTCAGAGAGTTTCAGCAGCTCTTCACAAATCTCTGGAGCTCGCCATCAACCGATTTGAGAGTGAAGACCTCACCTCAGTAATGGTATGTCCTGTCAGCCTAACATCTGAAAACAATTAATTTGTGTGCTGTTGGGAGTGATTTTGACTCGTGTCAACTCGGTCAAAGGAGCTAGAGGGTCTTCTGGAGATCAACCGCATGACGCACAAACTTCTCAGTAAGTTTGTGACTCTGGACAGCTTCGATGCCATGTTCCGCGAGGCGAACCACAACGTGTCGGCCCCGTACGGCAGGATAACGCTACACGTCTTCTGGGAACTCAACTACGACTTCCTGCCCAACTATTGCTACAACGGCTCTACGAACAGGTTCGTTAGCTCTTTCAGTATAGCAACTATTTATCCAAGTGGCTAACCAGTTAGCTTCAGTTAGATAAAATATAGAATTGTCAATGTGAGGTACAGTTGTGTTTGAAATAGTAGTGTGTTAAAATTGTGTAAAGCTCAAAATTCTTAGATGTATTGGGAACACTGCACATTATATTCAAAATCAAACCATGACGAATAATTAACTGGCTGCTGATCAACGTTTGGAAAAAACGAAAAGCTGCAGCTCGTGGGACTAAACAGGTTTATATTGATGATAAACGACACAGCAACTTTGTAGATATTTTAATAATTATTAAGCACAAAGAGCTAAAAGGAGTTCCTTCAATATGTTTTATGATTGACATGAAGGAGGCATCAGTCAGTTCTGCCCCACCTCTCCTGGTTCCACTGGACTTGTTTAATTTATGAAAGKGCAGAGTAAAAAGGGGTGGAGCCTGTGGGGATATATGGTCTGTGGCATGTTGTTACTTTCTTCCACTCTCACCATTTCTCCATTACTGCCAAACTTCATTTAACTTTCGCATCTTTTTATTTTCTTCTTCCTGTAGATTTTTTGGGACCATTAAAATAACTTTGTGCCTCGGTCAGAAAGGAGGTCAGTTGGGGAGGATGAGACTGACGACAGATTTAGTTGTTTTCTCCCCGAGGTTATCGTGTTTCCCGCTGCCTTGCGTTGCAACACGCTTTTCAAAATAAATGATCATTCTTAGAAAAAAAAGTATTGTAAAGTCTTTATAATTACTCTGCTTTTACTTGACCTGTCAACACAACTGGTTCAAAGTTTGAGGTCTCTACTTTTGGCAGAAATTGAAACAGGGAAGGTGGTCTGTCCAGTGAGAGCGGCTCCAGAGGGTTAACGATTACAGTTTTTAATAAAGTGATCATATTTCAAAAGCGAGATAAAGTGAAGGTTCCATGAAAAAATCTGTAAGAACTAAGAACCTAATTTGTGGTAATCCCTGTAATAGCACTGAAATTGGAAATACAATTGAGTAAGGAGCTTCTTTTTTTTCCACATACTTTTTGTGAGTTCACAAACTAAATTATTAAGAACAATATAATTGACTAATTTTGAAACATAAATATTAACATAAATTCTGTTCTATAAAAAAGAAAAAACAATACAGTTAGGGATGCAAACAATTAATTGACTCACGGTTAATTGTCGAACAATGCTTTATTAGATTAAAATTTCTTTCATTCGATTAATTGAAAACATCCGTTTAAACTTTATTTCTGTGTATTTTTGCCTTCATCCAGTAGATGGCGTTGCTGCTCTCTCAGCCTGTCCTACTCTACCTGCTCAGCCCTGTTGAGCTGTACAGAGAGCCGGCCGCCTCCATAATTAAACGCGTGAACCTTTAGTTTTATTTGCGACACAACAATAATAATGGACTACACCAACCTCGACGGAAAAGTAGCGAAGGCTGTAGCAGACCGTCCAGCACTAAGCTAGCTGTAGCTAACGTTAGCTTCTTTTTGTTGAGTTTAACTCCGTGTGAAAAAAACAAAACAAAAATGTTAGTCACTACAAATAATAAACATGAAGTTAATCGCGTCTGTGTGACGTAACCCGGCCAGTGAACAAATCAAATGAACAGTAACTGATGTCAAATCATGGCAGCAGCAAGAACCATGGAATGTAAACAAACACAGTTCCAGTACTCATTTGTATGTTTACCCCTCTCAGGTCATGTTTATAGTTTGTTTTTGAGTAAGTCTTTAGATTAAAATGTTAAAATATTAAATGTTAGTTTTACATTTTTCTGTTCAGGGTGGATTAGGTGTTTTACTTTTTTTTTTCCCCAACTAGCAACCTAACAGATTCCTGTTTTGTTATATTTTATAAATATCCATCCATTTTCTTCCGCCTATCCGGGGTCGGGTCGCGGGGGCAGCAGCTTCAGAAGGGAGGCCCAGACCTCCCTCTCCCCAGCCACTTCTTCCAGCTCCTCCGGGGGAACTCCAAGGCGTTCCCAGGCCAGCCGAGAGACATAGTCCCTCCAGCGTGTCCTGGGTCTTCCTCGGGGCCTCCTCCCGGTGGGACGTGCCCGGAATACCTCACCAGGGAGGCGTCCAGGAGGCATCCTTACCAGATGCCCGAGCCACCTCAACTGGCTCCTCTCGACGTGGAGGAGCAGCGGCTCTACTCTGAGTCCCTCCTGGATGACCGAGCTTCTCACCCTATCTCTAAGGGAGAGCCCAGCCACCCTGCGGAGGAAACYCATTTCKGCCKCTTGTATCMGGGACCTCGTTCTTTCGGTCATGACCCAAAGCTCATGACCATAGATGAGGGTAGGAACGTAGATCGACCGGTAAATCAAGAGCTTCGCTTTCTGACTCAGCTCTCTCTTTACCACGACGGACCGGATATTTTATAAATATGTCCAAGTTTAATAATGTGAGAGAAATCCACAATTTTCTGTTTATTCAGTCAGTGTTTACTCACACAGCTGGCACAGTAAGTTTAATAAAGTATAATACTGTACTATTTTTTAATTCAGTGTAAAAAAATTAGCCCTTCATGTCATAGAAAGACCCTTGATTCAAGAGAATGTCAGGTTTTTATGAAAATGGCCGCTTATCAATTAATCGTTAAGCGATCGATAAGATCAATCAACTTTAGATTAATCCATTAATCGATAACTTGCATCTCTAAATACAGTACATGGCATGCCCTGTGCCCCCGCTCTGCCCGGAGCAGTTTTGCTGTCGATAACAGTTAAGCTGCTAACTGTTTAGCTTTCCTGTGTTTTTGTTTGGTTCTTATTGCATTCAGATGCCACCCCAAAAGCATTGTTGACATTTTATGGACCACATCCAATATTTGCGTTTTGTCATGATTCATGGGTACTCTGAAAATGTAACCCATGCTAAAACTGAGGCTTCAGTGTGAATAACAATAACATAATACAAGCCTAATGGAGAATAAAATATAATGTGCAAAGTTCCCAATGCATTGAAACAAAAATGATTCTAAGCTTTACTCACAATTAAAAACCACTACTGTCATTGTAGATGTTCTTATGAAAGATGGTTTAAAATTAGCCTGCGTTAGTCGTGCTTGCTGAGAATGCATCACCAGCTTTGTGGTTTTCCAAGATGAAATTCTGATCTGGCTGACTGAAAGTTCAAAGGGTTTCAAACAAAAAAAATGCAAATGCACAGTTCAAAAGCAAAGCCTTAATACCAACAAGAAACCTCCATTATGTTTACATGCAAACTGTTTTAAAAAAGGCTTTTTCCCAAATGGGTTCCAACAAAACATATATTGTTTTTGTTATTATTAAAGCTTTCAAGCTTTGGTCTACCAAAGAGTCCAGACTGCAGGGAAATGTCCTCCTGTTGAAGCTGGTGGTCCTGATGCTAACAGATTATTAGCATATTAGCTTCCAGCCATTGCTTTTTATGTCCATTAAATGTCAGCATTTGCATGTAGCAACAGTTTAAATAATCTCCTTCTGTGCCTGTAGGTTTGTGCGGACCATCCTGCCTTTCTCTCAGGAGTTCCAGAGGGATAAGCCCCCCAACGCTCAGCCTCACTATCTGTACGGGTCAAAGGTGAGTACATTTTTCTTTTATCATCCCTCCCAGAGAAATCCTCACTTCTACTTTATTCCCTTGGATTCCAGGAGCAGAGGATTTTTTTTTCTTTGTTTCTTTTTTTTTAATTGACTTCAGCCGTGACCCGACCAGCTGTGCACAAGCACATGTTGAAGCCAAATGTTAACCACGTCATAGTATGAGTTATCTATATAATACAAGGGGAGAACTTTAATATGGGAAACATGGTGTGCAAAAGAATAAATGGGGACAATGCATTTATGCAAAAAGAAACTTGATAAATCACAAAAACAAAAAGGTAAATGTCTGAGCTGCTTATTTATAAGAGACGAACTGGTGAAACAGCTTATATATTTAAGTTGTTGGTGCAAAACATTTAAATGGTTCAAATTAAAATGTAATTTTAAAGACAAATATGATTTTCATTTAGTGGGTAAAAAAAGGCTCAATGACAATTCAGCCAGGGCGAAACAATACTGTGATGACCTTAATCCAGTCGATTAAAGTTGGCTTGCTGTCAGCCAGCTTAGCGAACATCCTCGTGGTCTTGGGTAATTACGTGTCCGGAGATCTGCGTGGACATGAGCGAGGGCTGGATGATGGTGGCGCGTTTGATGCTGTCCTCGCTGTTGCTCCGGGGCGTGAAGAGGTGTCCCGACTCGGACGCGTCCTGGCGGGTGGAGTTGGCCACCACCGTGCAGCTGTCGGCGGCTCGCCTGGGGATGACGGAGCACGTGTTGCGGAGGCACCCCCACAGCAGGACGCCGGCGATGACGAGGAGCAGGAGGCAGCAGGTCAGCCAGACGCCCACGGCCAGCTCCCAGCTCGCCCTGTCGTGGCCCTCGCTGCTCTCGCTCTGAGTGCTGAACACCTGGCACTGGTCCCGCACCGGATTGGCCGCCTGGCACGTCACGCACAGGAAGTAGGCGGTCTGCGGGAGGAGGTTGGCCAGGTGCGTGCTGGTCTGGCTGACGGGGATGCGTTCCTCGTGCTTGAAGCTTTTCCGAGTGAAGCCCATGAGCAAACTGTTCCAGTTGGGGTCGTACATGACGCTGTAGAAGGTGTCCAGGCAGGTGGGGGAGGCTGGCCAGCTCACCCTGGCTGAGGTGGAGGAGATGTTGTAGATCGTTACGCTCATTATGATGATACACGTGAAACACTTCCTCTGGGGTTTACAGTCGAACGCTCCCAGTTTTAAACCAAACTGTAAAAGAAAAAAACATGACCATTACACCTGTTTCTAAAGTAGACATGTTGTGTTTTTAAATTATTCTTTTTCACATTTAAATCTTTCAGTTGGGGTCTTTATAAAGTGGAACTGCTTTGGTCTGATCTCCTCTTATTGTAACTCCACAAGCCCTTCTTTCACTCCTTTTTTGAGGTGTGTCTCAGATTAACTCGTTTTGAGGCTGTCTCTTTAAATCCAAACATGGTGCTTTGTGCCCCGCCCCCCTCCAGCTTCCAGACCGATCCATTCTAGTTTGATAGAGGGGTTTATGATGATATAGCTGCGCAGAAGCTTTTTATTTCCAAATGAATATATGTCGGCAAGGAAAGACTTGTACATCCAGCCAGAGTCTGACCCAGAACCAGAGTCTGACCCAGAACCAGAGTCTGACCCAGAACCAGAGAGTGACCCAGAACCAGAGTCTGACCCAGAACCATTGGAGAATAAAGACCACCAAATTGTAGTTGGTAAGTCCAAACCTTATTTGGCAGTTCCATCACAAATAATTTGATGTAATAATTTAGAAAATGTCATAAAAAATAGAGAAAACTGAACGGGCTAAAAAATCTGACCCAAACATAATCTAAAGATATCTTTGCAGCACCAGGAGAGACTAAATTCAACTTCTCTGCCTCCTAGAGACTCCAAGTTCACAACAAAATGCTTTTAATGGCTTAAAAATTGGGTTTTGCGTGATTTGTCTACTTTAATCCAATTTTACTCAATAAATAATCAAAACATCCGTGCTGTAGAAGCATTTGTCTTTTTTAGCTTTTAAAAAAATCCTAAATGTGGGGTATGGGGGGGGGGCAATATGAGAGATTAATAATAAGCATTGTACGAAGGATTATGGGTGAAGAAGCGGGATGAAGAGGAACATGTGCAGCTGTTCAGTGAATGACATAATGCAGGATGGATGGTGAAGAGGCTTATCTGTGCTGGGAGTCACCTGTTGGGAGATTTGGTGATGATCTGTCAACTTTAAACTCTTACAGACCTGCTGGACAGGTTCAAGTTTTACTCCCAAAGATGGGCTATGCTTAAGAAATACCGTTTTTCTCTGGCAGATGTAAAACACCACTTTTAAAAAAAAAATTAGTTCACTTTTTAGAGTTGTTTTTCCATTTTTTGTCCCCATCTCTGCCTGTTAACTAAACAGTCATCTCTACAATTACTTAGTCATCAGTGCTCATCATTCCAGAGCATAGCATGGATAGAAGGCTGACTTACCGGGATAAACGCAGCCAGCATGTGACGACCATACCAGTCTGTGCCCGATTAGATTTTCCGCCGTCATCTACTCCATCCTCACCGAGTCAGAAAGAACCAACGCTGCGAGCTGCTGTGTGCGACTGGAGCAGAGATCAGTGTGTCTTTATCTCAAAATCTGCCACACTAGAGGGAGTGTTACTGGATTAGAGCAACAGCAGCAGGAGAGGGAGTTAAAATCTCCTGCTTTGGATGTTGGAAATAAAAATTAAGTACATTTTGTGGGCATACTGTGGGCCATCTCTGGATCATATTTTGCTCAGTGATTGTTCTGTTTTTTGCAGGTTAATCTGCAGACATTATAGTAATGTACAATTTTTTTTAAATCTCTGGGTCAGTCTGTTTTCTAGTAGTGAAGCCCAGAAGGAGATGATATGTAGTTCAGCTGGTTGATCCATCTGTCCAATTGTTAAGTCCATCATAACAAACAACCAAGCTGTCATGAAATTTGGTGTTAAAATTCATCAATCCATCTGTTTATTCCTGCTAAACTGAAGTCAGGGCAAGGGGGTTAGAAGTTCAAATTGTTTTTCAAATTTCTAGGTCTGCCTTAGTGGGATCTGCCTAGAAAACCTCGAAACAGAACCATCCAGAGAGACACCTGAATTTCTTTAATGCCGTCATCCAGGTGGAGCTCGGAGGAGACTATGGAGCTCCTCACAAGCTCCTGTCACTCATTAAAAGGGCAGTGTATTAGAAAGAATTTGATATGATGCATATCATGACACAGGGCTCACGATACTGTGAGCAAGGTGATATAAAGTATTGCAATTTTATTTCCCAAAGATTCTAATAAAAAAACTCAGTATTTTTTGTTCCAGATTTCTCATTTTATCCATATTTCAATATGCCATTAAACAGTTGGATAATATATTTGTGGCAGCTTTAGGATTTATAATATTAATTTACTATAAAAATATGATATATCTTGGAGGAGCTGACTCAGCTAGGTCATGGTCTAAATCAGGGGTGTCAAACTCATTTTCAATGAGGGCCACATGAGGATCGTGATGGTCCTCAAAGGTCCAGTTGTAATTAACTTCAATGTTTCGTGTTTAACTTCGACTCACAAAGTGTCACGTTCCTCATATTGTTACAACTGATCACTGCTAACAAACAATAACTGAGCTCTACCTGGTATTTCATGTAGAAACAGTGTTTAACATGTCCTCTTATAAACACTGAAAAGTACTACGTGTACAACTGACTAAATGTGAACAAAAATAATACAGAAATAGTATTAAAAGTAAGAGTTTTACTCAGAGTTGTGGTGGGTAGCTGCCTTATTGAATAATGGACCTCCCACTTCCTGTCGGGGAATTCCCACAGTTTAAATTTACAACTTGTAAGTGGGGAAATTCCCACTTCCCAGTACAAGTAGGCTGCAGCAAAACGTAATGTTATGCATATAACTACTGTTCCCTGAAGGAAAGGAACGAGGTACAACATCATGTATGGGAACCACGCCCCTGCGTGTCCTGGCTGAAGCCACCTCTAATCACGCCTTTAGGCAGGTGACGTGATGACGACAGATGTCAGGCTCCGCCTGCACATATAAATATTGTCACCGTGAAATATTGTTCACCGAGCCCAGCTGTGCAGCGGGGCCAACATGTGTTGTACCTCGTTCCTTTCCTTCAGGGAACAGTAGTTATATGCATAACATTACGT